ATATATGGGGACTTGCCTTTTAGTCCAAGGAGCAGTGATTCCTAGAAGGGGAGGTGCAACCTCCCCAGGCAGCCCCTGCAGGCAGCTCAGGTGGTGGAACATTGTGGGAAGGTGGGGCCAACGTATTCTTCTTCAGTCCCCACTGCCAGCAGAGGGACTCCACTAGTGGCAGTTGCTCAGCAGTGTTTCAGCCCTGCTCTTTGATCACCCTGATGCTTTAAGACTCCTAATTTACCAGCCTGAATTATGGAAGAACCTGAAAGATTACTAGTATGGTGCTAGAGGAGCCAGCACAGCATCAGGAAGGAGAAATAAATTCCTCTGCTCTCCAAGAGGGAGAACAACAGAGAAGCCAACTATAGCGTGAAGGTGTGAGTCCTGCATAAGGATTCAGAACTTCTGGAGAAATACCCTAGACATTTATCATCTCCTCCTGCTTTTTCTGAAAATGAAACCTAACATTCTGGGATATAAAATAATCATAGTTTTATCAGCATCAACTGCAGCTTTAAAGAGAGTAGGAGAGAAACATCAGAGAAGTGTAGATTGCTTGAGGGACATTTCCTCATCAGCTCCTGTTGCTCTTCTCCTTGCATTACTGGAGTTTTGTTCTTCCTCCACTGCTAGGTAGGGAAACAGAAAGCTCCCCATGCTTAAGAGAAGTTTACTTATGACAGCTTTCACAAACACCCAAATGCCTCCAGGCCCCTGCGTCCCAACCTGAGCAGCTAGGCAAGATGAGGCTTAGTGTCTGTGGGAGACCCAGGCAGGTGCTAGAGAAGTGGAAAGAAAATCCTGGCCATTATGCCATAATGTCACTTCACAATGAAAACTGACCCTGCTGAGACAGCCACCCCTCCCACCCCCATCTGTAGCCCTCTCTGCCATTTAGCAGCAAAGCTGTCACCAAATGCAAAGTTTGGCACAATCAGTGTTGTCTGCTGAAATAGGAGCATGGTCAGGCAGACAGTGACATGTCTGCTGCTGTATAACCTAGGATTTCAGAATGATGCTGTGGGGCTTCTTAAATGTCCCAAAAGCTTCCCAGCATCACACCTAGGTTCAAATAGGTATAGTGGGTATGAAGCTGAGATGTTGGGCAGGAAGGTGTTTCTTTCTGTGTTATTCAGTGGCTGTAACTGCTGACACCATCCCAGATGAGCTGATCCATGCTTACTTGGTGGTATTGAAGCTTCATTTTGGGCTGGCACCTCCACACATCCCAGAGGGCCATGCACTCCCTCACACTTACTCAAATTCAAGTATGGCTGTTACCTGAGGGATATGGGAGAAAGGAGGTGTGTTACCCAACTCATACCTCCTTTTCCCAAGACTGCACAGGACACAGCTTGTGATAATGTGGACGAAAGTATGCATTGCAAAGGCTTCATGCACATGAGCAGAAGGCTGCAAAATGTGCATGGGATGTGAGCTCACAAGCTACTGGGCTCTTCACTCCTGCTCTCAGACAACTCTGCCTGCCCAAAGTTCCTGCTTTACCTCAGGGACTGCATGATCAGTTAGGTCCAGTTCTTCCAGGGCAATTTCTATTCTCCATCTCCACATGCAGCTGTTGAAGCTAAATTACTCACTATAGAGGCTGACACAAAGGCCAGGGCTCTGGCTGGCCAAGACTTCAAGCCATATGAATTTAAAGGCAGGAGAAGGAGGAGTGGGAGGAGGAGGGGCTGTGTTCTTAGATTACAGCTGCCTCTGTCCCAAGGTCCTGAGCCAAGAGGATTGTCAAGATTAGAAACATTATCTGCATTCAAATCCCACTAGCATTATGGAATCAGAAAATACTGTAAGGGGATATATAAATGCTTGATACTGTAATGAGCAGGAGGCAACTAGCCAAACTGCTGTGTCTCTGGCATACTCCATATTTTGCTGCCTTATGGGGTTCAAATATAGGGGTGGGAAAATATCTTCACCTACACACTGCTCAGACTCACCTGCTGCAGTGGAGAAAGCAAAGTGAGGAGCAATGTCCAGCCCCTGCGTAGCTTGCACTTGCAAAAGCCACCAGAGGTACTGACACCCTACAAAGGTCTCCTGGCTCCAGGAACTGCCGCAGTGGAAAGAGCTCCTGAGAGTCTCACGTTGCACAAAATGTTCCCTGTTGTGAGACCCTGCTCTGAGCACAGGCTGCACTGCTCACTTCATTGTCTCAGCATGAAGGTCCTGGCAGAGGAGGCAGGCTGCACACTTAGCTCCCAGCTCTGTCCCCTCAGGCACACATCCCTGCAGGTACACACGCTGTACACACACAAACTTCTACTACACACGCTGTTGCACACCTTCTCTTGGGGTGAGCCTCTGCAGAAGAACATCTCCAAACATTCATAGCCACGATACATACACCTCCAAGAGACAGTCTTCTTAGACAGTGTCACACAAGCCCTGACATACCAACAGGCACACCTCCGGCATTTTTGACTCCTGAGCACTCCCACAATCTCACACAAAGAAGCTTTCATCCCATC